TTATTATTATTATATTATATAATATGTAAGCAGACTGTTTGCCGCCGCCGCCCTCTCTGATGCAGCAACGTACCTATAAATTATTATTATAATATATATATCGGCTATCGCTCTCTCTCTCTCTCTCTCTCTCTCTCTCTGGGCACTCCTATCATCATCGCTGTATGCGAATCTCGCTGAAATTTTTTCCCTCGGCGTATTTTTATAATAATATCTTCCTCTCGCCGAGTCGCGCGCGCGTGTATATAATATATTATTATATACCTATATAATACCGCCCGACGACCTCTGAACGCGAGTACATACGCGATGTTACAAACCGAGCTGCGAGTATATATACGTATACGCGATATGTGTGTTTAGAGTAGCCGAGCGTATATATATATATTATTTAGCGAAATACATTTTTCTCCATTAACTTTTGCCTTGGCATGCACATATATATTATGTACACGAAAGCGAGTTGTGCGGAGACTATATAATATATATATATATAATATACGGTGCGCGCGCAAGCTCCAACGTACAGACCCCCTCCCTGCCCCTTTGCAGCTCACCCACCCGTCCACGGGGTACGCGGCTGGGGAATACATACATATATACGGACCCCGAACCGGCGGGGAAAAGAGTGCGCCGCCGCCGCTGAGGCGATGCGAAAATTCTTTGTGCGCCGCGCGTGGAGGGCAAGCTGCAAGACAAATGAGAGTTTTGGGGGCCACGTATATATATACAACGCGATGCGGGGGGAGAAGGGGGACGACCGTAGTTTTCGGCAGTGAGCTTATATATATCGTATGCTCACGAATCGCGGGCGCACACATACAACCACACACCCACACACACGCACAAACGAAGCGCACGAACTTTTATTTTACCACTTTTAGTCTGTGTGTGTGTGTATGTCTGTTGCCATTTTATGCGAACTATATATATACACACACACACACACGCGTAAACGGGTGGTGGATGAATGGTAACAGCGGCGGCGTCGAGCAGTATATATATTATGTATGTGTGCACGAGTGTGTGTGTGTAAGTGAGTGTTTGTGTGTGTGTGCGTGCGCCCGCGCGCTCGCGTACAGCCGTCGACGGCGGAGCGGGGCAGAGTCGGGATTTCACGGCGCCAGGACGCGGCGCGCACGGACGAGGCGGCGGTGGCGGGCGGACGACGGCTCCGGCTCAGGACGTCCATCATTTGTCAACGTCCACGACACGGGTACACGCCCCGTGCCGCCCGGCCGCGTCGCCATGGATACGCGCGCGCGGCGGCGGCGGTCGTCTCTGCCGCCGCCGCCGTACACGTCGATTCCACTCCGTCACGCCGCCAACGCGCGCGCACACACGCACGCGGACGACCGACCGAGCGTGCAGTGCGCGCGCGCTCACGTTTTCGCTTTGTGCGGCGGCGGCGGCTATACCGCCCCTAAACGTCGTCGTATATATCGCGACGGCGCGGCGGCGGAGAGGTCGCCGCCGGAGCGAGGAGAGGTCGCGCGCGCCCGAAGACGGAGCGAATTTCCACCGTTTTTTTTTTTTCCATCTCCTATATATTATTATTCTACCGATAAACCCAGGCACGATTTTTTTTTTTCTATACGCACTCGGCGGCCGCGGCCACGGTGCACGCATTAAACGATATTATAATATTAATATTGCAATAATATCATAACCATAGGTGCAATATAATATAATAATATTATAATGTACCCAATAAAAATGAACGGACGTGGTTTTCGTGTGCGCGCGTAACCGGTTTCCGAGGATTACAACGTTAAACTTCTCTCGCGCGGCCACGGCGACGTGTGATATGTGATCCGGACGGACGGCGACTACGTGTTATGTGTCACCGCGCGTCCCGCACAGGCGCGAACGACACTGCACGCTCACACGCCGGTCACCGGATCGCGTCCGGAATTAGGAATATCGTCGGGTAAATGGCACACGTAAATGGCACACCGGTGATGGCCGATATACGTGCGATCGGTCGCATCGTCGTCCCCGGGTATTGTGTTAGGTTAGGATTGACGATGTACACAGACGCGAGTATACGTGCTGCAGGTGTATGATACCAGATACCTGTTATATAGATATGTGTACGAGTACGCGGTGATAAGATTGGATAGGTAGTTTTCTTATGGTATATTATAATAAATCGAATTGCATAAAACATATTTTATTTGCATATGTATATATATAGCGATTTTGTACACGTTCCTTATAAGATATACCTATATTATAATAATATGTAATAATATATATATATAAGAAAGAAAATACTAAACATTTTTCTCGTAATTATTATTATAATATTAATATATATATTATAATATATTATAATTATTATTATTATTATATTATTAATCATTAATTATTACGCTTATGATGTGATTATATTATAATATAATATTATAATCATCATTATATTAATATTATTAATTATCATTATTATATTATATCACATTGTAAAAATTATACACAACTATAAACGTATTACGATCTATATGTACAAGTTGCTTGCTGCACGCATTTTTCTTCCATCAAACATGTAAATCGACTTAACCAACTATATATATTATGTATAGAACATACAAAAAAAAAACATATTATACAACATGCATATACATAGACACACATATATATAATATACAAACACATACACACATATGTATATACACACACATATATTTGTATATCAGACGATGTCTACACATATACCTACTGTATAATATATACACGTTTATCATCGTAATATGTACATAAATGTTTCTTATTATTAATATTAAATGTATAGCTAAAATTATAGTAAAAGACTTTTTATTACAATATTTACATTTCATAGGTATACGTAATAATATTATACTTAAATAGATAAAAACATCAAGTGTATTACTGGCACAAAAAAGCAATGTCTAGCACGTATTTATAATAAATATATATATATATATATTATGTATATACATATATATATAAAAAGAGAAAAAAAAAAAATTTAATCCAGACATCATCGTATTTTGTCGATGTGCGTATACCAAGTTATTGTTGACGATGTTCTTTTTCAAAAACATAATAAAAAAATTACCTATTACACTACGTAAATATAACAATAAAACATTATCGCGATAATAAAAAGTATTAAAAGTAAAAAAAAAAAAAATAGGTGAAATGTGATCATGAATCGAGATGGGACGTAATATAATAGAAAATAACGAATATAACAATAATAATATTTCATATGTGAAAACAAAACAACAACCTATTATTTTGTATACATAATATATTATACACTGCAGCGTTTCTTTGTAAATATATTTTTATTTTCAAATCAAAATGAAAATCCGTCAATTTCCGTATACCGGCCGGACGTTTTAGTTATTTTTTAAGTTGTTTGTCCGCGAGACACGATGTTCGGAAATATAATTCACCATTAAAATTTTTGGTAACTAAAAAAAATGTGTAAACAATAACAAACGAAATAAATTTCAACTTTTTCTAGACATTGTACAGATTAATATCGAAATAATCACGAAATCATACGCTATATATATTTGTTCTATATATAGGTAGTAAATAATTTTTCTCCCGGATTCAAAGTTATTATACAAGTCAATATAGATATTGTTACGAGGCTATTATAAGAATAATCGTAATTATCATTTTAATATTTATATGGTAATATAAAATATAAAACATGACTAGTAGTTATAAAGTACGCGAAATATATATTATATTATATATATTTCTTTTTTTTTTCGATAAAAAAAAAAGATCCGAGAAAGTACAATATATACTCAACATGTGTCATTTTGTCATTTTGTGATGACGGCAAGTTTATAGGTTTCAAAATGTCGACATATTATATTATTCTTGTTACGTTTTAAGTAGCAAAGTCAAAAATGGAACAGCTAAATATAAATTACTGCGTAGCAACGACGAGCATCCGCGGATGGATGCTGGAGACCGTGGCTCCAAAGGTCTAGTCGAAAACAAAGTCATAAAAATCGAAAACGGTCAAATGCCGTGTACCTATGGCTGCCGAGAATAATGATAAAACAAAGAAGGTCGACAATATGTAATATATAGGCAATGCTGCAACTATATATGTGTGTGTGTAATATCATACAGCCATAAAGGTATTGTAATCATAGAATATAGCTCGTCTGGCTAAAGAGTGCTCTGTACATTTATGTATTGTACCTACAGCTGATTACGATTCGAAATGACGCGCCGCCCGAATTTTCTCTCGTGATCTATATTATGTAAGATTAAAAATGCCGTTTACAATAATATCGTATTTCGAGTTGACGGGTAATATGCGTACACGAAACGCGCGTACGTACACACATTAATGTGCTTTACCATCATAATATATTGGATAGCCATCGTAATGCATGGTACCTATACCTATATATATATATATATATAATTATATATATACATAACACGCGAGTACATTTAACATTGTCCTGCGCGGGGACACATTATTACATTGTTATACATGTATATAATACTTACGTACTACTATGCACGACTAACGTGTTTACGTCAACTAAACATAAAAAAAAAAATAGGTCTAAATTACAGCTAGACAATAACCGCATTACATCGTAATCAATAATATTATGAGTGTACACATATTATTACAATATCGTATTGTCGTGCACTATAGTATAATATAATACATAACGCGAAATGGATCGACGCGACATAATATTATTATTTTGTTTCGTTTGTGAATAGTATTATTGACAATAATAATGTTTTAATTACGACACCGGCCAATCAATCGTCATTGAAAAGGAAAAAAACAATCCGTATAGTCTTATATTATACATAATTCAAAAAAAAAAAAAAAAATAGTAATAATAATAATAATAATAATAAATAAAATAAAATAAAATAATAATAGCGACCAGTGAAAAAAATATACATCAGTCAACCAGATTGTTATCAATCATTGTAATGAAACACGAGTACTAGAATTCAGATTGTAATTTACGGTACTACAAATGACCGTAGTATTGGGCCGGGTAATGATGATATTCGTTGTGATAGGCCGGGTCGCCCGGGGGTCTGTGACCTGCCGCTGCGAGCATCTGAGACTGTCCGTCCATCATGTATCCGAGACCGGCTGCCTCGGGGCTGTACGCTCCGCTGGGGCCGGCGTGCGGTGAGAATACTGGAACAAAAAAATAAAAAAATAAAATAATAACAACCGCGCCGATGTGTACAAGATATAAGTCACGGAATAGGTTTTTATATTCGATTGTGTTGTTTACGCGTACAACACAATATTATATTGTACAATGATAACGATATGGCACGATGGCCAGGACACGGCAGAGAAACCGCTCCCCGCGATCGTTGCGCCCTGCAAAAACGACTTTGGACGGACGAAATAGTAATTTATAGCCGCTTAAAGGAAACACTATACCATTACTATTACAACTATTACTATACTACGGGCAGTGGAAGAGGTGAAAACTTGGTCTGTCCCAGAGCGAGCACTTTTTTTTCCCTTATCAGATACTGCCGGGGATTGACGGATTGCAGTCGCACAGACCCTTCGGGGTCGAGGTCCATTTTTCTTGTCCCCGAACACGAGCAGGGACCACCTCTAGCGACAAGATATATTGTTGTCCCCATACATATAAGTGTACCAGATATACCTATACATATATATTCATTCCTTGTCCACACCACTGCCATTACCGTACTTTTCCCAATTCCCGCGATTATATACATGGCGTATATCCTATTTGTGTGTAACATGTGTGGACGCGGTCGTTCGCCTCGCCGGAGAAATTCCCGTGTAAATCGCTATTGCGGAATATTTTATAGAATATATATAACTGCATAATAATATACGAATACGCGTATACGATGATAGCTGCAATTCTTCGCTGTCGTTGTTGAAAACGTCAATTTAAAAGGTAGACGTATACAGCTAAAAGCGGACGACACGACGTCATGTTAACAGCTTTAAACGAAACGAAAAACAACAGCCCGGGAATATATTATTAATAATAAAAACGGCGTTGCACCGGGGACGAGACACTAAAAGCTTTTGTGTCGTCTGTCCTCCGTTTTGTCCACTGTATAATAATAGTGATAATAATAATAAAATAATAATAATACATATAATATATATTTCACGAGACGTTATACACACGCATGTATAGTATTATACATTTATACTCATAGTACTGCAATCGTATATATATATACTATAATATATAACCGAACAAAAACCAGAAAGCGACATGTACACAACACAACGTTTCACACACGAGAGCATTGCCACCGACGCCACCGCCGAGTGACGGGGCGCGAAATGCTCCTGGGAATAGAAATGATTAGAACCTCGACGGCGGAAAAGTGGAAAGCCGTGTATCCCCCGGCGACTGATTTTTTTGAATTGCAATTTAATTGGCCCGCTATATATAATATACGGACCGGGCACGAAATCAGCGTCGCCATCATCATATTATAATAATGACAATAACGGAGATGATGATGACGATATAATCAGTATATAAAAGTCAGTATTATAATAATGTCATTTTCCTCAGCGATGGCCTCTCGAGTCGACGGCGATGGGTTGCATGATGCAGGCGACGGTCCTGACGACACGGAAATATCATCGCCAAAACGAACGGTTCTAAATAGTCGTCGCGGTTATAAACCGGCGAGTAAAAGTTTCCCCTTCACGAAGCACCCCGTGCGCAAACACGGTAATGGATATTAACAGAGATTACTCTTAACACCACCCCACTGCAGATATATCCAAGATGTCCTTGCACACCCGTGCTGCAGCATTGTCCCTCAATCCTCGTCGTCCCTCATATATTATATACTATTATAGATATCGCTGCCTAATATTCTTTTCGACTTCTGCGCTATATTTAACCGTGTATTATATATACGACTTCTCCTATTACCACCGCCGCTGCTGCTGCTACCACCCTCGGTCGTGCTTAGATTATATTCACTTTCGTATTATATATATAATATAATATATTAGATCGTATATCGTAAAATTATTATGTACCAAATGATGCGTACGTTCGGTACTCGGTTAAAGCTTTCGAAAAGTTTCAAGAACGTTTTTTTTTCGCGAGATGTGGCACGACAAAAAATGTTCTAAATATATATATGATGATGATGATGATGCGTCCAAATTACGCGAAAAGAGTTTGTGAGCTATGTACCGAAATAAAAGGGGTCGAAGCATTTTCAAAACGTCCGAGGAAATGTTATCGTGTCGGGAGTGAACGACTATATATACGCTAGTAGAGTTGATGAGGCGGAACAGCACTGTTTGGTGGTTTTTATATCCGGTACGCATTTATTTCTTTTCTTCGTAAAACGTATAAAATAATGTCGGTCGTAATATATATATATTGTATATATATGAGGGGTGGAAAAACTTGGACGGGAGGTCGGACCAACGAGACTTGTCTTGTTAAAGCTTTCGGGAGATTTCTTTTTCGAATACTACCGGAAATATAGAATCGAGGCCCTTTTATACTGAGCTCAGTACACAGCTAAGGGGTCAGAGTTGTATATTATAATTTTTATACTGTGATCGACTTCGACGTAACGCTCGAGTATGCAAGTTATACGCATTAAAATATACATTATATATTTGTGTAAAAAACTACTCATTCTTATTTATAGAACATATTCTGCACACATCGAGTAACTTTAGAAATCCGTTCGTAGGCGGGAGAAAAAAAAACACGCATAGGGGACGACGCGTATACAATATATTATATATAATATTATTATATGTAAAAGCGTGCCACATAAAGTCTAACGATGACATTCGTCTATATATATATGTATATATAATAGTTAAGGTACCTATATGTCACGGAACGACCCTTTTGTCTGCCGCGATTTAACGTCAATGATTCGGGATTAAAACAGATATAATATATAGTGGTCTAGTATAATAACGGACGCGAGAGTGGTCGGTTTATAGTTTGTTTGACCGTAACTGTTTCCCGGTGGTTGAGCGCTGCACATTCACGTATATACATACCCGCACGGGGGGGGACGGAGACCGCCGAGTGCAGGCTATACGGGGGCAAATAAAAACAAAAGTGTCGTATAAAGGCAATTTGCTGCTAATAAAATTAAAACGATCGTGCGCGCCGTGGTGAGAGGAGACGACAATCATCAAAAAAAGGGTCTAGATGACTTGCAGTAAAAATAAAATTTCCATTAAACGGGAATAAAACGGTAACCGGCTCGGCGCGCGAGAGAGGGTGCACGAAAATCAAGCATGTCGTAACAAGTTTATCGCGCCATAAAACCCCTCGAAATTGCCAGTCAAAAGTTGTGTGCCACCGTCTCGGAATAGCCGTAAAAACCTACGGAAAATGGGGGCTATAAGGCACGGGGGAGAGTGAAAGTGCGCGAAGGAGAGAGAGAGGGAAAAAAACCTGGGCTGGAAAATTCGCGTAATTGGACCTGAGGTGCATCGCGGAAAACATTACAATTTGCCGCCACCGCCGCGCGTTTACGACCCCCCGCGAATAGTCGTTCTGCTTTACGACGACGACGGTCCTCCTATATATGTATACACAAGGCCTCACTGCCACCTGATTCAAACGATTTACCGCGTATCTTGTGAACAACGACGACGACGACGACGACGACGACTATACGACTATATCGCGACGGGGGAAAACAAAAAAAAAAAAAATCCCAACAAAAACTTTTGCGGGATAACAATTACGACGTTTTTGCGCGGCGCCGCAAACGACATTATTATATACAACACGGTGATAATAATATTATAATAAATGGCTGCGAGATGTATTATATAGGTACAACCGTCGTAATAATATCTACAAGTATACATAATAATATTATATTATATCACTGTTTCGAGACTTACCGGCACGGTTAGACTGATCGATCATAGGTTGGACTATTCTCCGTCGAGCGTTTATAAACCTGCGGAAACAAACAAAAAAACAATCGTATTAGTTACATACTCAATATATATATATTATACTATAAATAATTTGATATTAGGTGTATTTCGGTCGGCGTCGAACAGCGTTTTTATCGGTAGTTTTCAAAGCGCAAAAATATTACGTCTCATCGGTGATATCAATACGGTTTTAATCGTTCGCAGATATATAAGTGTATTGTTTACGATATTTTGTAGACTTCCAATATCGATTACAGCCATCGGAAAACACACCGAGGCGTAATTCAATACACGAAAATATATTGTGTACGCGCGTAGTTCGGTCGATAACTCGTCGCTGTTTGTCTCGAGTTACGCGCCTATACACACGATTTCGTATATTATTCTGAACCGATGAATTGGTTTTTGTTTAATACTTGGTTATTAAATTTAGAAAGCGCGAGTCTGCAGCATGTATATGCGTGCACCTCGTACCTACGCTGCGCAGCCGCCTCCGCGAAAGAAAACCCGAAAATAAGGGTCGAAATAATATGCGTTTAAATGTATTTTTGCCGATTAGAGACGTTGTAAATAGCATTTGGGGGGGTGGGAGAGGGGTGGGGGTGTGCACCAGTAGGAGAAGTCGTTACAAACACCCGGTGCACATAACTCGATAGTTCTGACCTAACAACCCCGACCTGACATATGACCCGACCCCCATCAACGCGCTCGTAACAGCTGTTCGCTTGACGCCTAATTTTCCCGGCCCTTTTTATTTCTTTAATATTTCGATTCGCGTATATATAATATATATTATATGTATAGATATGTATATATAGTACAGTGTATAATAACGAAAAAGAGAATCGTTCGAGGGCTCCACTGAGCGCAAGGCACAACCTTCAGAGTAACTCTCGGGCGACCGGCAAGTTTATAGACAAGAGAGAGTCTCATTAATATAATATATTGAAACAATTGGCGAGGGCGACTGAGGAGATGAAGTCCTGCGACGCGATCTGCTCGTCGTTATTCAGCGCGAGAGCTTAAGCAGGGAAACTCGCATAAATCTCCAGGACGCGAATTCCATGCCGGTGTTGGATATATAATATGTATATAGATGCGAGAGAAATCCGATCGTCCTCTTATCGTGTTAATTCGTCGGACAAGTCGATGTCTTTTTAATCCTCGCCCACGACGCCCTACGTCGCTGCAGGAACACTAGCTATTCGCTCTCCTGTCTCGAAATATATATAGCCTCGCATTAAGGGTGTTGAAAAAAAAACTTTGTCATTAGCAGGGCAAAAGTATTCGTCCAACTCCATTATCACGCGTTTTGCATTAATTGCAAAATCAATAGTCTCCCCTCCCTCTTATTTGGTTCTCTTATCAGATTAAAAAAATATAAATAAAATAATCTCGGAAGTGCAAGCATATTCCTCACAAAAAGCGCAATTCATATACTCTCGTTTTAAACACGAATACAGAACGCCATTGCGGCTTTTTATACAAATATAATGTACATAAATCGTCCGCTCAATTGTAGGTATAATGTTGATTGCTTGATTATAATTCATTTAAAATGATCAAAAATTGTGTTTTACGTTAGAGTAATGTACGAATTGTATAAATACAATATAAAATTAGTAAACAATCAAATCAAATTATACTCAAACACTTCTCACAAAAGTATATTTTCCCGCAGAGACGCTAAATTAATTCTATGCGATTTTACAACATATATATTTGGTTGTTTTTTTTTGTTTTGAATAAGTAAGTTATTTAAAGCGTGTCTCGGGCGATTACTGTACCTACAATTATTAATGATCATTGTCATTGAGAAATCGACGTAAGCGCTATCCTAATCGCTGTTTTTAAATTACAATATTTACATTTTAATTACATTAGTTGGGTTACACGAACGAACTGATGAATTAATTTTCACAATTTATATATATGTGTACAATAATAATAATAATGTATATTATATTTTATTATTTTACGTGGATAAATAATTTTAAACAACACGAGTAAAAGCGGTTGTCGATGGTTGAAAACACAATTCGCGGTATAATTATAGTGTTCACATAAAAAAAAATCCGACAATAATTATATAGTAAATAGTAAATTAATAGCAATAGTAAACTGTATTAATAATGATAATAATATACTACCGCCCCGTATAGATATTATTAAACACACACACATTTTTTTTTTTTTTAACACCACGCTGCAGGTCTTAAAATATATATTATAGAGAAACAAATTTTTTTAGAGCGTCGATACATACCAACTTGTAGGTAAATAATAAATAACGTGAATAGACAATATGGGAATAGTTTTTAAGCTCATTTTCTCACGTAATCAATAGTTGGTTTGAAAAAGTGAGTGTATGGGTGTGTGTGTGTGTGTGTAAGAAGGAAAAATTGATTTCGTGCCACACGCGATTTCTGTAATATGGTTAACTCGACATGTATATACCAGGTATTATATTGTAATATACTAACGACAACAGCGGGCCATGTATTTGATTAATGATTCTCACAGTAACTATATATATATATATATATACAAATATGCACGTACGGGTAGGAATATTATTTTTGATACGATCATAATTTTCGTCCTATAGTCTCGAGCACATCGTTTATTTTATTCGTGTGCAATATACAATTATTTAAGGTCTAAAATATCGTACCTCCTCATTAGTACTCGTGTATATTTTGTAAATTATATATATATATATATATGGATTCTGCCGCAGGTACGAGCATTTTAATTGGTTGTCGTATTCACGAAATTATAACGTAATAATTTAAAAACGAAAAAACGACGTACTTGATGTTTTTTTTTTTTCGTGCAGTTTAGTTTCAATGTTTGGTCCTATATATTATATACACTCGTGTAATAAATACGCATAAACAGCTAATGAAAACGCGAAATTGAATACTCGACAACGCGAGTGCATATATATAAATAAACACCATACACATTATACATAATAATAATATTGTATGCAAGGGGTATAATTATGCACGCGTTGATAACTGGCACAACCGCGTTGCACGGCGTATATATCATGTATATATATTTGACTAATGTCGTATTATTACAGATGGGCGGGTATCGGAAATCGAGAATGTGTGAAATATACAATATTAAATATATTATAATGTGTACCTTTCACACGAGAAGTATATACACACAATACATATAGCGCTCGTCGCACGCATATTATATACTGTCGCTCGCACGCACACTACACGCCCGCGGGCGCGTCTCGAACGCATATTGTCGGTTATATATATATACCAGATTAGCGTTTAGGCCTCGGTATATCTTAGACAGAAATTGGAAAATAAATCCAGCCATAAACAAGAGGGTAATCTCCGGGTCTCAACTCGACTCCGACGGCCAGATATGGGAAAACGACATCCCTCTCTACCGCCGACCCAGGCCACCGCCGCCGCCGTCGTCCCCCGTCCGAAACGACCATATACCACCCTTCAACCGCCCCCCCACAGCCCTCGTTTATCCGGGTGGACAAATTTTACGGCCATTCAAACAACCAAGAATGGTCTTTTCGGTGGCGCGGGGGTGGTGCGGAGCGGCGTGGTGAATCGGTCCCCGCGCCCGCGGTGAGCCTTTTATGCGAACCCATCACACACAAAAGCTTGACCGCCGTCCACCGCCGCCACCTCCGGCGGCCCTTTTTCCACCGTTCCGTTGTTATTGTAGAGAAAGATTCTATCTCGGCCGCAATGTGTCCAGGAATGTTCCCATATCTCCTCCGACCTCATATATATATTGTATATAGATATATACACGCGTATACCTCGTGTCCCGGTTTTACTCAGTTGCGTTATATACAAGTGTGTGTGTGTGTGTGTGTGTGTGTGTGTGTGTGTGTGTGTGTGCGAGGAGGGCGAAATAGCTCATTCTTTACTCCCCCGGAACAATATCACCGCCGTTCAACAAGAATGAAAAATGTGGTTAATATCGTTCGGTCTGCAGCTGCAGCAGTGCAGCAGCATGGTGGTTTTCCGCAATTTATAATCTCCGGATTGAGCTCGGTTTCTTATGATATCACACCGCGGGGGCACAGCAGCGTACATATAGGTATACGCCGATATTGGATAATATTATTTTTATTAGAAATTCCAAAATCGTGTCAAGTCATATTATTATTATTATTGTTATTATCGTGTCGACACCGAACAGGTATAAACGATCATAAACATAATATATATATGTGCTGCGGCGGCGCGGTGAGTATAATAATAATGCATATTACACCACCCCGCGACAGTGCGGCACAAAAGCGATTATATATACCACACATGATATAACACCAGCAACGGCCGAATCGTTTTGATTCGCTTTTCGTTTGAATATATAAACATAAATATCGTCGTAATATAATATGTGAGTGTGGCGCAATTTTACTTGTTACACGCATATAGAAAGTCATATAATAATAATAATAACCTTTTATGTTATAATTATTCTAATATTGCGGCCACTACTGAATGCCCTTGAGGGACTTATCCCAAAGTCCTGTGTTCGCGGGGAGCACGCATGTGTTTCAAGTGGCTGGTGCGCGAGTTATTACACAAGGGTGGCGGCGGACGGCGGACGGCGGTGGTGGTGCCGAACAAGGGGATCTTGAAAAAAGTTAATTTACGACAATTACATCTGGACACCCTCTTGAGTTTTCCGAAAGCAATTTCGCGCAGAACAAAATTAGGGACCGCGGCCGCGTGATCTGGCGCTGCAAGGGGAGAAAGAATACAAGCCCGGCACAACCCTTGCTATGTGTGTGCAGCGCGGTGCACGGCGGCGCATTCGTCGGCTAGTAACACACGGTTTTGTGATCATTAGCAAAGATCATTGTTGTGTTTCGAGCGCACAAACATCGCGCGCAGTGTATGTGTGTATATAATACGCGCGGCGTGCGTGTGTGCATGCGTGCGACGCAAAGGGAATACGCACGGGACCCGATAACCCTTTCCGTACATATATACGCGCGCCCGGGAAACATTCA